CCCGCGGCACCCCCCTGCCACAGTGGTCAGCAGCCGCCTAGCCCAGCATTTGGGTCAGGCCCCGCCCAGGACCCCGCCCTGCCCTCTGGCTCAGGCTCCGCCCCTGACCCTGGCCAGCCCTGACACCCCACCTTCCACCTCATCCTTCTCTCCTATGGCTCCGGTGGGGCAGTAATCTCTGATGGGCGGGGGCGGTGGGGTGGAGGTTGTTCCTGTGCCCCATCTCTACCCTGAAGGTGTCCTGGCAACCTAGCTTTTAGCCCTCACTTATTTATGCAGCCATTAGTTAGTCGATCGCTTATTACTTCCGTCTTTATGGCTTCCTGCCTGCCTCAGTGTCCCTCATTGCCAGCACAAGTGTTGAGGTAGCACTGTCTACAGCCTCGTTCAGTTTTCAGAGAGGCAAGACTGCACATAGCCCACGCAGTCATTAACTTAGAGCAGGAGCTCTGTAGTCCACCGGGAGGCCACCTGTAGCTGAAGCCCGGGGATCTGGATCACAGAAACGGAATGTTCATTTCTTTACAGGATGCGCAGGTCTTCGCTCTCTCGGGGCCAAACTGGGAGAAATGGTTAGTGGCCGTGGGGAAAAGCCCTAGAAAGTAGTGGCCGAGGTAGAAGACTGCTAATCTGTACCTGCGGGACCAGTTGGAGCGTGGGTGGCATGCTTGCAGAGGGTGGGCTTGCCACTGCGGGAAAAGGAGAGAGTCTTGTCCAGAGATCCCTTAGGGAGCTGGGCGAGGCTGGGACTCCAGGGAGAAGAGTGGATGCCTCTTTGGTGATAGTCAAGCTGGCTTTATGGGGTCAAGGGAGAAAAGAAACCCTAAGGAAAGTAATTGCTGGAAAGGTGAGAAAGGCTATCCCACTGTGCTGAGAAAAGTACAGCAGGCTATCCCACTGTGCTGAGAAAAGTGCAGCAGGCTATCCCACTGTACTGAGAAAAGTAGAGCAGGCTATTCCACTGTGCTGAGGAAAGTGCAGCAGGCTATCCCACTGTGCTGAGAAAAGTAGAGCAGACTATCCCACTGTGCTGAGGAAAGTGCAGCAGGCTACCATGAACAGCAAGGAAACATAACCATAAAGGTCATGTGGTCACTTCTAGAAGGCTAGTTATCAACACCCCCTCCTTAATTTACACTTGAATAATGGGCAGTATTAATTTGTTTTTAATAAACTGCATTGCTGCTTCTTGGTAGTTCCTTTCAGTTCTGCTTTTCCTGCCTTTCAATGGATTGATTGGATGGGGCCTGCCTAGATAATGAGACAATGTATAATTAACTGCAATTATAATGAGACAATGTATAATTAATTACATCTACAAAATCCTTCAACAACACACTAGTCAGAGTTTCAAAGAATGGCTAGGTGCTATACATTGGTCATACCTCAGTGTAAGTCAGCTCTTCTCGGAAAGTGTTTATCTTCCCATTTCGACAAAGCCTTGGCATATTTCCTTCCCTTCTGGTTTTCTCTTGTCTTCCTTCTCTGTCTCTAGATCTTGTACAAAGCCTTCCCAGATGCTGCTCCTTCTGTGCGTCTGTTTGTCTCTTCTCTTTGACTGAGATTTCACAGTTTTTTCTTACACTTACAAGTGCACTGCCATTCTGTCCTCCAGGACCTGCTGTCTTCATTTCTCCCACCAGGTGATGAGGTTCTCGGGGCTGGTGCTGTATTTCACTCATACCCAAGTGTAGCTCGATGTGAGGGACAAAGAAGCTGTACATAGATCCTAGCAGGGGGAGTTACTGGGGCGTCTGCGGCTTGCTAGGAAAGCAGGCTTTTGTGGTTGGCAAAGCTGAAGGTAAGGTAAGAGAAGAAGTTCAACCCTTACCTCCCCTTCCTGGTGCCATGATTCCCTGATTCATGCAGTAGTAGCATGTCCATGAGACATTAGGCCATTGAATTGGAAGAAAGCAAGGAGTTAGGGAAGAAATGGGAGGGGGAAATTGTGTATATAATTATATTATGTCTCAAAAAGTAAAGATAAAACAAAGAATTAAAAAGTCCAAGTTATCAGCAGTTCAATCACAACTGAATTTCAAAGTTTCCTTACCAGGACAATGCAAATTCAGCAGTAACAACCCAGATCTTTTCAAGGTTGGAGGTAGAGCCCTTTTTGAGGAAGATACTGACACCACCAACAGCCACTTGTTGGCACACAAAAGTTTTTTTTTTTTTTTTTAAGGGGATGAGACAGGGTTTCTCAGGGTAGTCCTTGATGTCCCGGAGCACACTCTGTAGACCAGGCTGGCCTCAAACTCACAGAGATGCCCTGCCTCTGCCTCCTGAGTGCTGGGATTAAAGGTGTGCACCACCCCCACCCCGCCAAGCATTTGTTCTTTTAAGTCTTCAATAAATGTTGAACAAATGGCTATTCCTCTTGCTTAGCTCTTGCTGTTCTCTGATGCTTTGCACTTGTTCCCTGTCATTTAACCTTATATGATAAGCTCTGAGGCTTTGCTTCTGGGCCATATATCATGTCATTCTATCAACCTTGCACCTTGGTTCATAGGTGCTTAATGCTTTTTCTGAGCATGACCTTTTACAAAGTATATTTTAAATTATTTATTTGCTGATTTTATTCACCCATAGTGTATTTTGATCACGTTCATCCCTCATCCCTCCCTTTAAGTCCTTCTGTATATACCCTACCTCCTTCTCCTCACAACTTCGTGCACTATTTAGTTTTTATTTTCTAATAAGTTACTGAGACCAAATTTGTGCTGACCATTTACACACTAGTGTGGGGCCATCGACTAGAGCATGGGCGGCTTACCAGTGACCACACACTAAAGAAAACTGACTCTAGCCTCCCCAGCTGACAATAGCAAGAAAAGAAGATACAGGCACTCCACCAGACAGCTAAGAAAGAGGCTTAAGTAGCAAGATGAAGCAAAGGTCAAACAGTGTTCAATTGGTCTAGGAGGACAGAGTGATCTTAACCTGTTGGAGTACTAAGACAAGAAAAACATGTCCAGACTGAAAGATGTTAATGGGGACTCAGACTAAGAGAAAGTTGAAATTGGTATCTCCAGGGAACTCTGCTCTTTGCCTCCTCTTGAAATGCTCTGGTGGTATTCAGCACCCTACAGATTACTGACACAAGATTCACCTGTGGTGAAACAGCTGACCTGAACATCAGGGAGCTCTTGGTCCCCAGACTGATAGCTGGGATACAAGCATGGGACTGATCCAGAACCCAGGAACATGGGTTTCAGCTAGGAAACCTCGGAAATCTACTGAACCTCCTGTAGTAGTTCAGTACTTATCCCTAGCATAGGTGTGGATGTTGGGCGCCCATTCCACATAGAGGGATACTCCCTGAACTAAGACACACAGGGGTGGGCCTAGGCCCTATTCCAAAGGATATGATAGACTCTGATGACACCCTATGGAAGGCCTCACTCTCCAGGGGGAGCAGAAAGGATATGTGATAGGTAGGGTTTTAGTTGGGGGGGGGATGGTAGGGGAAGAAGGGAGGGAGAGGGAACTGGGATTCGCATGTGAAACAATCTTATTTCTAATTGAAATTTTAAAAAAAAAACATCTGCAAAGAAAAAAATTGAGGAAAAAAGATTCACCTGTAACTACTGGTCTAAGGTCTCTCAACTGCCCATCCCAGCTGCTCCTCTCCACTGAATCATTTCAGAGAGTTAACTGTGCTCTCATGCAACTTGACACCAGTAGTCCAGCCAGCCATCAATAGTCTATTTGAACCAGGGAGTATAATATTCATGTTTCCACACCTACTCTGGTCCTCAGTGAACACCCACTAAGAATGATTGATTACACAAAACACTTGGTATCATTTTGTCAGTAATTTCCCTCAATCTATAGGTTGACTTTTGTCTTTATTTTACTTGGGAAGAAACTAGAGTTCAAACTGATTTAGAGCTTCTGCCAATCAATAGCAAGCCTTTGCCACATTCTCACTTGCTCTTTGACCTTGGATGACAACAATGCTTGGCACTTGAGATGCAGCACTGCCTTGAAGCCTGTATTTGTCATTTCAAATAACTGTTTATTTGGGATACCGTCTTCCTACACATCACCTCAAATATCTGCTGTGTCAAATTCTTATTTGTTAATGCTCACTTAAGGCCCAAATGTTTGTCTAAATGTTCCTTTAAAATCCATTGTAAGATATAGAGATTGGAAAAATTATTAGAATCTAATGTATAAAAATAAATACTCTTCATGGCATACTGAAAATCTATTAGTATCATACTGAGTCATCAGTAGCTGTTGACAAAGTGGTATTTATTGAGAAGAGTTGAAGATCACTGAAAGCGTCAAGATATTACTAGGGTGTCATAATTTCATTGTGGAGATTAGACCTAGTCCATAAGAATCTATATATAAAGGCCATAGTCAACTATAATTCATTTACTTATCAAATTTCATGTTTAAAATCATTTGCTTCTGATGAAGGATAAGGAGAATATGGATGAAGACTCAGGGACAATTCATCCCTCCTAAATCAAATATCAACTTCTATTCTTAGTTTCTATATAATCCTGCAAACAATATGTGGTTTTCTTTATTATCAAAGATATAGCTAAATATTCACATCTTTCCTGTCATCATGAGAGTGGATTTTCCCACAAGGGTTTCTAACACAAGAGTAGACTTAAGATCTCTCAGAATTAGATAATGATTTGTCCACCCAGGTTTATCCAGAAACAACAGAAGGATAATGTTACCTTCTTACAGTGCTTTTGTTACAGGTGACTTGTATCACTTGTGCACAGCCCAGGACAATGAACTGTGTCAGACCCTCAGAATTCAAGACCAACTCAGGAGGTGAGAAACCATGAGTATTTTTCTAGGTCAATAAACCACGTCATCATGCAATAAAGATGGAGTTTTTACAGTTAAAGCCAAGAGGTGAACCTAAAAAATTGTGTCACCTTGAGTCTAAT